TCGACGACACTATCAAAGTGTGGTTGGGCTTTGGGTTTGGCACCGTTTTCACCTTTTCTGCGTATGTCGGGATAGCTCTCGTCTTTTTTGCTATCTCCGCTATAGCTAATTCGGCTCCGATGCTCTGGGCCGGTGGTGGAGTTTTCTGCCTAGACTCTCGCATTGTTCGTATCTCCGACGATACTGCTTCGAGGCGTTCGGTGATTGGTTGCAGGTGTTCAGTTAGGTCGGTTGCTGTCGAATTGCTCGGGACAGGTTCTCGGCTGATCGTTCTCTTTATATCACTCAGAACCGTTTTTACCTCTTCCAGTTGTTCCCAGCCTTTAGTTCTCTCGCTTTCTTCTACTGGGATACGCGACCGTGACTCGAGAAGCTCAATCGCTTTTTCTGTGTTGCTCTGGACGTGGATCGTGTTGGATTTGATTTTTTCCAGATCCCTTCTGTTCTCGTCCAATTGCCTCGACAAGGACTCTGCCCTAAGAAGGAGCTTTGTCAAAGTCTCCTGATCGTGGTGAGTGTTCCCGTCGACCGGTTTTTCGTTGGACGAGATGTGGGCTTGATGTTTCAGCCTTTCGTCTAGAGCTTTCAGCGCAGCATTGATTTCCCGAATCTTATTATGCGGTTCCCGGGTCTCGTACTCCAGCCAACCCCGGACTGCCTTGGCTTCGTTGAGAGTAGTGGTGATATCGGTTCGGGCTTGCCTAAGCTCCTTGGTTAGGCCCTCCGTGAGATCTTGGAGTTTTTTATTGTGAGCCCGTTCCACCCTGACTAGCTCCTGAGCATGTCGGCTTCTTTCTTTTTCCAGGTTGCATTTGTGTCTCGACCTGGAATCTGAAAGAGCTAGCACAGTTTCATAGAGTGACTGCAAGCACTCGAGTGCGGTTGCTTTGCACTCTCTTTTCATGTTGCCTGCAGTTTCTAGTGCGTCTTTTGCTTTCAGGAACAGCTCATTCGCTAGTCTGGTTGCCATGTCCATTTCCACTCCTCGTATTTTTGTGGTGGTTTGTATGTAGCTAGGGCGTCCAGTGTCTTGCTGATCTGAAAAGTAAGATTCGGACGCTGTGGATTCGTCGTCCGACACGATGGGGCGCGGAGGCAGCTCTTCCCGAGACCATTCCTCTACTTTTTTGCAGCTACTGAGGACCGGCTCGGTATTAGCTGTCGATGGAGATGAGTCCTCGCTCATAGAGGACCTGGCTACTGTGGCCTTCGCCAATACTTGTTCCCTCAGCGATCGCGTGGCTGTTTTCGATGCTGATGGCCGAGTTGTTTTCGCCTTTTTCGTTGGCTTAACGGTCTCCGCAGCTGGTTTTTTTGCGATACGTACGGTGTTAGACGACATTTTATTTATTTATTTATTTTAGTATAGGCTAGGACTTAAATTAAGTAAATTGCCAAAAGAGCAGTGTTTACAGGAGTATAACAATATAACAAAATGTGACTTAAAAATAATTAAAAATACGTTTGTTTCTTCGGCTTTGTGAGTTACGTGGATTGTGCGCGTAGAGGGGAAATTCAAAAGTTTGTAGGGGTGGTATTGTAGTGTGTCCTCTCCCGGTTCTGATGACTCCTCGCACGGTCCTCTAAGACCAATCTTGAAGGAGTTACGGGCAGAGGGGTATTTCGCGGGAGAGGTGGGGGGATCTGTAGCGGTACGATTGTAGTGTGTCCTTTCCCGGTTCTGGTGAGCCCTCGCACGGTCCTCAAAGATTAATAGTTATGGAGTTACGGGCAGAGGGGTATTTTGCGGGAAGGGAGAGAGGGGGGGTAAAAAAATCGGTAGGGGCAGGATTGTAGCTCGTCCTTTCCCTGTACTGATGAGTCCTCGCGCGTTCTCCTAGGATGAGCCGCTGAGGAGTTATGGGCGGAGGGGGTTTTTGCGGGAGGGGCGGGGGGAGGGGCGGGGGGAGGGGAGGTTTCGTGTGGAGTGCAGGGGTGAGGGCGGGGTAAAGTGGTGAGGGGGGAGTTGTTGGTTATGGTGCTGCTGCTGATGGGCTGGTCCGGAGCACCCAAGGTGGGCTGCAAGTCTTCGAGCCGCTTGTGGAGCCCTATACAAATCTATGTCGCGTACTCGTGTAGCGATGACGCGACGACGTGTACGTGGTGTTTACGTTGTTTGAACTTTGGTCGGGATAATTTACCGTATATTTCTGTTACTGTAGCTCCTCCAATTGTAGTCCAATTTTCCCGATTTTTTCACCAATGTACTGAGAATATTACGGGCTTTACGTACATGTATAGGGCTTTACAATACCTTGTTTAGCTTGGTCTCAGTGAAGCTCCAAAGTTGAGGTCTTATAGCTCTGGAACCCCTGCACCTAGTGACTTGCCAACACTTATCCGGGTGAATCACAACACACACAAACACTTTTCAACAATATTAACTTAACTATATGTATTTTTCTATTTTTAATGAATTTTTTGCGCGGAGCAGATGTTCACTTGTTCGGTTTTCTATCGTAACTGGGTTGGGTTGGGTTGGGTTAGGTTAGGTTTTTTTTTTTTATTCTTATACCTCCAGCATTGAACGAGGGAGTCTGTTTTCATTTAAGTTCTCTTTCATATCAGTTCTCGCATTTATTCCTCTCGCACTTTTATTCTACATACTTGGTCTTTCTATCATTCTATCTCTTTCACTCTGTACCGGGTGGGATAACCCGTCTAACTACTTACTTATACTGTTTACTTTTCTTTTTACTTATCTTCTATGTACAGGATTGTGAGGGGTAATAATTTCTTCTGCAGACATCTATTTCTCTTATTTACTTATCTACTATTGGTATGTTTCTGGAGACATTATTCCTATCTTATTCTAATATTTAACATTTTTATTACTGTTTATCATCTTATGTTTAACTAAAATAAGTCCAATTATTTAATAAACATAATTTTCTTATTACAATTTGTTTCTTTTTATCACCTTACTTGCTATATTCTTACAATAATCTAGGAACACCTCTCTATTTTTACCTACCATTATCCTATTTATTTCATCTAATGTTATCTTGGAGTCCATCTTGGTTTCTACTTCGTGCCTTTCGACACTAAATACTGGGCACTCGAGCAATATATGCGGGACCGTCTCATCCTTCCCCGGTTCACAGATGCATGATGGATTCTCCTTGCACCGGAATCGATTCAGGTACTCGGAGAATCCACCATGCCCTGTCATGATCTGTGTTGTCAAGCTTGTTGGTGTGATTTTTCGGATAACCCTGTACGCCGCCACCGCATCGGGGAAGAAAAGTTTTGTAACTCCCGCTGTTTCAGCGTTTTGGTATCTCCGGTTCCATTCGTCAAGCGATTCCATCCGAATGATTCGCTTGACGAATGAAACCGGGCACAGGTCATAGTCAGGCCTGCGCTTGGAACCCACAGCGGCCTCTTTGGCAAGGTGATCGGCGCGTTCGTTACCCTCCAGACCCGCGTGAGCTTTTATCCAGAACAAACTTATATATTTGTTCCGGAGTAAGGCCTTCCGCAGGTTCTGGCGGGTTTCGACTGCAAGTGGATGGAGGGCACCTAAGTTAGTGACCGTCTGTAATGCTGCCATCGAGTCGCTGTAGATTCCAATGCTATTCGCTTTAGATTTTACAGCCTCACGCGTCGCTTTGCATATGGCCAGGAGCTCCGACTGGTATACGGTGCAATACGACGACAAAGTAAGTTTGAGGGTTTTGGTCTCGACAGCACCATTCCACATGGATAGCGCCGCCCCGACCTTGCCCTCCACCTTACTGCCATCGGTGAATATGCGGATATCGAAATTGCTATTTAGGTCTAAGTGTTCCTGGTTCACCAGTCTTTTGAACTCCCAGCCAATATGCTCCGCGGGGTGCGGGGATTGTAGTGCTGGTGTCATTCGCTCCACCTCCCTGTCTCCGAGCGCTGACTGAGGTACCCCTCTCTTGGCCTCATATAGTGAGGCTGCCTCGCGTACACGAATGTCGAGAGGGAGCATCCCAGCCAGAACCAGTGCCGAGTTCAGGGAGACGGTGCGGTAGCCCCTGCATAACTTCCGAGCAAAGCCTCGCTGAACTGCGTTTAATTGCTTCTGAATCCCTAACCTTTTTACCGCCGGAGCCCATACGCTGGCGGCATACAAGATTATCGGCTCGACTGTTGCAGTGTATATAGTTCGTATTACCTCCGGGTGCAGTCCCCAACTAACTTTCGCTGCACGTTGTAGTTGGTAATATATGCTAATCGCCTTCTTGCATACTCCCGCGACATGTTGATTGAATGCAAGTTTTTCATCCAAGATGACTCCCAACAGCTTAATCTCTTTAGACATGCCAATATTGACCCCTCCCATGTTCAGGCGCGGGGTGTCATATTTTAGTTTGCGTGTGATAACCATTGCGCTCGTCTTATGTGGCGCAAATTTAAGTTTGTTCGCGACACCCCATTCCCGGACACACTCGAGGGCGCAATTGGCACGTCTTTGGACCTCTTGGGCCGTTTCTCCGTTAAAAATAAGGACCACATCATCCGCAAATGCTTGACAATAGTGAGCCCCCTTCTCCAATCGTTTCAGGAGTGGGTCCAGGAGTAAATTCCAGAGTATTGGCCCTCCTATTGACCCCTGTACGCAACCCTTTTGAGTCTCCCTCTGGTATTCTTCCCCGCAATATCTGACTTTTACCTTTCTGTCGCTCAGGTAACTGTCCATGATTTTCCTCAAATTCAAGGGACAATTTTCCTCCGCCAGTCGTACTTTAATGGCGGGCCACCAGGCGCTATCGAAGGCTCCCTCTATATCCAGTGACACTAGTGTTATCAGTTTCTTTTGAGTCAATTTGTCGTTCAAATGTTTAAGTAGGGTATAGAGGGAGTCTTCGGTGCTCCTTTGTGGCATAAAGCCGTACTGGTGGGTACTAATTTTAGGAAGTATGTGGTATTTGAGCCTTGAAACAATTAATTTTTCTAAAGTTTTCCCGAGTACGGATAAAAGGCCAATAGGCCTGTATGCTTTAGGCGTGGTATACTTTTCTTTTCCAGGTTTTCTTAGGACCACTACTGTGGCCTCCTTCCACGCCCTGGGAAAATGGTGGCAGGTCAGGCATTTATTCACTAAATCTAGGAAGAAGTGAGGATCTTGTTCTACTACATTCAGGCAGATATCTGCTGTGAACCCATCTCCGCCTGGTGCCTTTTTTGGGTTAAATGAGCTGATTGCAGTTTTTAACTCTACCATCGTAAACGGCGGATCCTGCTTGCAGTTTTGGGTCGGTTCATTGACGGCTTTAGCTCGCAATCTTGTTGTTCGATGATCGCAATTGTCGTTTTCCTCTAGGTCTTCAGGGTAAAATGTCTCTGCCAGGAGTTTTGCTGAGCTCCTTGCGTCTAGCACCTCACCTTCCTTTTCTAGTGGCACGTCCTCCTCCCTTTTACTCGTTCTACCTATCACTCGATAGATGCCTTCCCAAAGGCCCTCTCTGTCCTGCTTCTCGCAGAACTCCTTCCAGCTTCTGATTTGGGCCTTTGCCGCTTCTGATTCGTACTTCTCTTTATGTTTCAGATATTCTTCTACGACCTTCGGTTTGCGGACTGGTGCAGCGCATCTGATTCTACTCTTCCTGGTAGCTACTTCTTTCTTCAATGTTTCCAGCTCCTCGGACCACCACGGCAAGGTGAGTTTCTTTCTATTATTTATTTTAGGTATTGTTTCTTCACAGGTTCTACTTATGACTTCTGTAAATTTACTAACTACTGACTCTAATGCTTCAATTGTATTTATCTCTTCTAATTTGGATTTGTTAAGTTCAAAGACTTGTTTTAATTGGCCTAATTTCACATGAAATGCGGCCCAATTAACTTTTTTAGTATTATAAATTCTTGTCGTTCTTTTAATTTTGTTTGGTGTAATTTTTTGCAGATGGATGTCAAATACTATGCCGTTATGGTCCGAACTCGTCAGGTCTTCGGCGATTCTCCAGCAGTCTACCAGGTCCAGCAGTTCCACAGAGCAGGCAGTCACGTCCACATGACTTGAGTATCTTTTGCCGCCTCTTATCACATCGAAGGTCGGAATTTCCCCACTGTTTAGTACGATCAGACCCAAATCATCAAGCGTTCCTGCCATCTCTTCACCTCTGGCATCAATTTTGTTGCTCCCCCACCACGTGCTTTTAGCGTTGGAGTCCCCTCCGAGGAGCCACCTTCTTGGGTTCACCTGTTCTCCGATCTTCCGGATTTGGTCTAGATATGGACCTATGGGCTCTGTGTCTTCGAAGTAATAGGAGACACAAGTGACCTCCCAGGCACCCGCCCTAATCCCCACCACGCAGATGTTGGTTGTGGTGAGTTGCGGATACTGGATAATCTGTAAGTCTGGATGAAATACGGCTATTGCAGCTTTCACAGTCCCATTTCCCGGGTTCGTGCACTGGAAGATCCTCGCGCCCCCTCGTCCCTTCATATTGTTGGCTCCTCCGACATATGGCTCCTGCAGTAGGGCTATGGCTGCTTTCCGCTTCCCCGCTTCCATGAATAGTTCATGTGTGGCCAGCTGTTTCCTTTGCAGGTTCGCTTGTATAACGTGGAGGGGGAGTTTTTTGCCATGGGCAACTTTAGCAGTAAGCTATTGTGGACCGTGCTATTTTATCCCATCTCTGTCGGGTTGGACAGTCGCTACTAAACGAGTTATGCTCCACATTTCCCACCTTCGCCTTACTACAGTTTCGGCAGGTTGGTGCAGCGTTCGCTAGCCATTCTGGGCATTGCGCTCTCAGGTGGGGACCTCCACAATGACTGCATAGGTCCTCGGTTTCCTTGCAGAAACGCCTCCCGTGTCCATATGCCAGGCACCGCGAACACTGCACCAGTGGCGACTGGTCTGTCACTCTTACTTGTTGCAGATCAATGTGGAGCATTCCAGCGTCAACCGCTCTCCTCCAGATCTTCGGGGACGTACTCAAGATAATGTGGCCGGTCAGGGGATTTCGGGCCCTCTTCCTGTACTTTATCACGACTCTGTCCTCCCCTTCGTCGAGGCCTTTGAAGATTTCTCGGTTCTGATTTCGTAAGGCTTTGAGGACGCCCTCGTCCTTGTTGTCTATTAGGACGTCTCTCAAAATCAGAAGCGGGTCCTTGTTCCTCATCTCTTCGACTACGAGGTGGTTTTCGTTCTTCGACAGCTTTTCTTTTGCTTTGGCCTGATCCTCTTTTGACTTGAAGCTCATCACTATCTTGCGATCCTTGGCTTTGCGGACCTTTTGTACTGTGAGCCAGCCCTCTTTCGCGTCTACAGCCTTCCGGACGCGGTCTAAAACCTGCTCTCCAGTATCATTCTCATCTGTTGAGGTGATAACAACGGAGTGCAGCGTTTCCCTCTTGTTTGGAAGCATCCTTATGTTTTGATGTGCTGCAACGCTAGCGTAGGTTAGTCTCTCCACTTGATCTCTCTGCCTCTCCTTTTCGATGGCTTCCTTAAGCTCCTCCATCTTTTTGGTGTGCTCTTTTAGGTGCTTTGAGTGCTCCTCGATCCGAGTGGCTAGGTCACTATGGATGGTTTCGTGGACTGGTTGTACTTGGTCGTGGGTTGTTATTGTTGACTTTCTGCCCTCTTCTGCTTCTTTTACCAAGGCATAAAGCCTTTCGACAGCTTCTAAGACATCGGCCTTTATGTCGCTTTTGAGATTCCTACTCTTGTCTATCTGGATCTTTGCTTTTAGAAGGCAAGCTTTGGCTTCGGCAGTTCGCGTTTTGTATTTTATCGTTGGCGTTTTGGATGTTGGGGACTTCTCTGATTCTATGCTCGTCGGTTTGCCTTTTTGGGAGCAACCTTTTGCATCCGTCGTCGCCTTTTGCCCAAAGCTTAACTTTATCCCACCGGTAGTCGGCTTTGGTTTTGGTTTTTCCCCGTGTTGAGGCTGTTGTTCTTGCTTCTTGAGCTGAGGCGACGTTCGCCTAGCTTCGATTTCGCCTACGCTACGCCGAACTTTTGATGTCGTCTGTTTGTTTTCTAGGTCTACTGGGGAACCGGCCCCCTCTGTCATTTTTCTCTTCTCTTCCTCTCTGGGTGAGGAGTCCTTTTTCTGGATCGACTCTTTCGCCGGGGTACGGAAACCAAACATGTCGCTGGAGGTATGCGTCAAGCAGATAAAAATAAAAATAAAAATGAATAAAGTTATTCAAGTCCAAAACGGAAAATGTAAAAGTGGTGAAGTTTGTATAAGTTTTATAAATATAATATCTTAGCCTAATCTAGCCTAGTCTTAAGTGTGTGTGTGTGTGTGTGTGTGTGTGTGTGTGTGTGTGTGTGTGTGTGTGTGTGTGTGTGCGTGTGTTTTGTGTTTGTATGTGTGTATTTGTAGATATCCTATTTGTTTGTATATTTTACAACTACTTTCTTTTCCAGGTCTCACAGCAGCTCAAGGTTGTCGTCGCCGCCGTTGGAGGTCTCCAAAATACTGGTAAGTATGCGAGGTAGTATTTCCCTGGTTGTGTAGTAGTGTGTCGTAATTAATAAGCAATGTAATAATTAATGTAGAGTCGACTCTAATATTGTAAAATATGTGCGTAGCCTAGCCAATTTTACTACGAAAAGGTTTTTCCGATTTGACTCTACCTCTCTATGTAGTCTCGCGGCAAGTCACCTTTAAAGGCCCGATTGACCTGAGTCTAGCCACGAAAAACCGCAGCTCGCTACGCAGCTACTCTGGTCAACTATGAAGTTATTTTTTTTTTTTTTTTTTTTTTTTTTTTCCCCTCCCCAGAGTCTCTAACCAACTGGAGAAGATAGAGCTCGTTATGCGTAACACTATACAAAAAATCATACTTCTGCAGGGTCAATAATGACGGAGATATCGAGATTTTAGAGAAACCAAGATGGCGTCCAAGATGGCGGGCGTAATATTAAAACGCCTGTATCTCGGCCAATACTCGCCCCCAGACGACGGGAAAAAGACTTCCAGTATCAGCACGCTTTGGGCTATCGGTCAACGAAGTCAAAATAAGGTCTTAAGTTTCAGCTCTACGTAGAGCTTTTTATAGTCTAATCCGATAGTCCCTCTCCCCCGCTTGCTAACCCTGAAAACCACGTCGCTGTGGGACGAATATCTCCGGAGATATTTACAAGTTTCAATTTCAAAATGGCTGCCAAGATGGCGGCCGAAAAACACAACTTTGGCTCCTGCAGTCCGAATTTGCTCGTTCTTGGGCTCGTTGGATAGGTCTTGACGAGCCCTATTTATTGGTTTCACTTCCCACCCTGTCCGTTCAATCCCCAATTGTTAATTAAAGAAAAAGCTGAATTTCAAGGTAATTTAATGTATATCTCTAAATTTACTCAATTTAAAAAGTTCCAAAATAGCTGGGTGGGTTTTGGATGTCACAATTAATGTTTTTTGAAAATACGAGATTTTTATATACAAATGTCCGAATATAATTTAAAGTTTTTGTTATACAACTTTAAGGGGTTGTATCTTATAAACCACCCCTGTCAAAATTATTTTAGAAACGTAGTTGCTAGTTTTAGGTCACCCTCTGTCCGTCCACGTTCTCAAAACTGGCGTGGGTCTATTAATAAAAAAGTCAATTTTCAATTTACGGACTTCGCGTAATTTTACAACGTTAGTGTGTCTATTTGCCGTGTTTACAATATGTTAGGGGTGAAAATACTCCCCCATCCAATTCCTAAATGTAACCAAAATTTTCCTACAGTGACGGGCTGGACCACTCTCGAGCGCACTATAATGATTTTCCAAAAATAAAAGTTAAATGTGTTTATAAAAAATGCGATAGGTTAAATAATTATTCGATCAACTGCAAGAAAATGAAACAATTTGTCGATCGTGGTAAGTTACAAAGTTATGGTTGGCCTTATTTGCGGTTTGCAAAAAATTTTGTGTCTGGAATGTTGTTGTTATTTCCCAAGGTATTAATAGGAAAAATCTAAATTTTATGCCAAATTATTTGTTACAAATTATGCTCTAAATACCTATATTAAAAACTGTGTGTCGCCGATCGCGCTGCTGAGCTGAGGTCCCCCGAAGTTGATGAAGCCGAATTCAAGAGCAGCACAGGTGTTGTTTTGGCTGTAACTTTATTGTTACAGCACGGATCTTCTTACAGAAAACGCCTTCCGTCTCTGCTGGATGCAGCGCTTGTCGTCCAGGTGTTGGATTTCGGCTCCGGGTGTTTTTTGATGGTGCACCCCCACGTGCGTATTTTAATTTTTCGTTGATATTGGCCAAAGGTCTGAATGGAAAAATTTTTTGTTTTCGCTAGGTGGTAGGGGGGCCGAATACGCAACTTTTAGCAATTTGATAATTAGGGGGCACAGATCGTTTTTGGGCGCCGCACGTAAAAAACTGTTTTTGAAAACGGAGCACGTGCACTTTTTTTGTACGTTTTCACACTTTATGTCAATTTTTGGGCACTTCACCGCAATCCTGTTCCTGGAAATTATGCACAGGGAAGCACTGCACAAAAACACTTAATATGACGTTTGTCCGGAGTAAATCGGAGCACTTTAACTTTTTTAGTGAATTTTTTAGCGTGGAGTCGCTCTAAAACAATGTTCGCGCTGCGGGGGTTAGCGCGCAACTGGTTAGGTTAGGTTAGGTTAGGTTGGGGTGCGAAGCAGGAACCTCCCAGTGTGCTCGATAGCTGTTGTTCCCTCTTGATTCCTCTGGGATCCGGGGGGAAGGGCAGCTGTTGGGCCGGTGCATCCCGGGCAACGGCGGATAGTAATTCTCCCGAGGGGGTACTTACTATGCGACGGCTAATACCTGCAGGGGGGGAATTGCCGAGCGGCATAGCCGGGAGGCAGGGGTAGGCGGGCTAGTGCCCGGGTCCGCTCTCACTTCTTCTCTGTTGTGCAGAGTTGATATGAGACGCGGACGTGTGCGACGGGTCTGGTGAGTCGTGGTTTTGCGAACACCAGACAGGCAGTTTGCCGCCGTCGACAAACCGTAATCTCGTTAGTGCATCGGGACCGGGGACCTTGCCTTAATCGGCCGGGTCGCGAGGAAGAAAACCTCTATAAAAAATTACCCCTAATCCCAAGCGGCGAGTGCAGCGCGAGGGGATGCATGGTTGAGGGGTATGTCAACCGTTACTGCAACTCAACCCCAGGTACCGGCCGACCCCTGGGTGTAAGTAGGCTTCTCTAGGTACAGGGGGCACTGCCTAGATGGACCAATATTTCCCCCACACTCGTGGGAACTTTATGGATAGTTTAAAAAATCGTTTGTCGAAAGATGTGCCTGAGAAGGGCGGCGAAAGTGAGGTGAACATGGTGTCAGATTCTGACTCCGTGCAAAGCATGGTGACGGTGGGGTCTGCATCGGAAACCCCGTCGAAATTTTGGCGGACGCCGCATAAGCGGCCACGCACTAGTGTCGGGAACTTGTCGGGCTCCGAGTCTTCAAATGAGGACCAATCCCCGTCAAAGGCCAAGACTGAAATAGAAAAGAGGGGCAGAGGCCGTCCCCCTACCACTGGCCAATATGTAGGCTTGGCTGCTGCCAAAGCATCCTACGTTGCGGCTCAGCGAGAGGAACTCCGACTTCAATTGGAAAAGGAGATTGTGCAGACGTCGCAGAGGGCTCGTCACACACTGGTTTCTCGCCTGTCGGAGTCCTCCAATGCGGAGGATGAGAATCAGTCTGCTACGGTTCTCGACCAACAGGTCAAGGATAATTTAGAGGCCATCCTTGGGGTGGCCAAGAAGTCAAAAAACCTTAAGGGCACGATGCAGCGCGTCCTTAAGGATTCCGCGAAGGCTATTGAGGATGCTGTCACTGTTCTACGACAACGAACTGTGTCTGAGGAGACAACCAAACTGCAAGCAGACAACGCTCGCTTGCAGTCTGAAATTGTGGAACTTCGGAGGGAGTTGTCCGCTATGCGGACTGATATGGAAAAAACGCGACGAATGGCGATAGCAGCTGCTTCCGAGTCATTCCCATCAGGTGGAGGCCCGGGCTCATCTGAGTCTCGGTTCGAAGAGTTTGCGCGTTCTATCATGATCCAAGTAGGGACCATGATGAATGCGCGACTAGATGGACTTGAGCAGAGGCTGCTGCCAGAAAAGAGTCTTCGTCCTCCTCTAGCAGCGGACAGAGCTAAGGCTCCGGCTTCTCAGTCAGCCCAGGCTTCAAAGCCGAAATCGACCAGTGTTGGTGCTGCTCCCAAGCCTGTCTCTGATCCCAAACAAGGGAAAAAGGGAAAGGCTGTAACGGCAACTAGGAAGGCAGTGCAACCTGCAATATCCACTGCTGCACCTCGCGCTACTACAGCGGCACCTTCCAACATAGACGAGGGTTGGACCACTGTAGTCAAACGAGGTGCCAAGAAAAATAAGGTCCAAGCGGCACCTAAGCCGATAACAAATGCGCCGCAAAAGGCGAAGAAGCCAAAACTTCGGAAGCCTTCTTCCGCAGCGGTGGTTTTGACCCTTCAACCAGGGGCTGAAGAGCATGGAGCAACTTACGCCAAGGTTCTTTTGGAGGCGAAGAGCAGGGTTGACCTCACCGGTCTGGGGATTGATGCAGTGAGGTTCAAAAAAGCGGCTACAGGGGCCACCATTTTGGAAGTTCCAGGTACTACTAGTGGCGAAAAGGCTGACGCTCTTGCCCAAAAACTGAGAGAGGCCTTGCCAGAAGATATAGTACGAATCTCTAGACCCATGAAATGTGCTGAAATGCGTATTTCGGGACTGGATGATTCCGTTACTGTTGAAGAGGTGACTGCAGCAGTTGCTCTCGCCGGGGGGTGTGCGACGGAGGCTGTCAAGGTTGGCGACATCCGGAGGGATCCTTCAGGTTTGGGAGCGGCCTGGCTGAGGATTCCGATCGAAGCTGCCAAGAAAATAGCCACCGCCGGCAGGGTGCTCGTGGGTTGGGTATCGGCGCAAGTTAAATTGCTCGACCCCAGACCCATGAGGTGCTTCCGGTGCCTGGAATTCGGGCACGTTAGAGTCCAGTGCACGGCAGAAGCTGACCGTAGTAGTCAGTGCTATCGTTGTGGTCAGATTGGTCACAAGGCGGCAGACTGCAAAGCTACCCCGCACTGCACGATGTGCGCAGTAGCTCAAAAACCTGCTGGACATATTCTGGGTAGCCTGGCG